CTAATATTCCTTAGCATTATCCATTCTTTAATCCACATCAAGTTACAAGCTTGATAATATAATTCCCAATCCGGCAAACCAAAACCTTCTCTTGATCTAACATCTTGCATCAATTTTAGTTTTATCCTTGCCTTTTTGCCCTGCCATATATATTTTAACACCATTTTATTTAAATCTTCAAAATATTTTTTCCCCAATTTAATTGGAATTATCTGAAATAAATATAAAAGTCTGGGCAGTATATTCATTTTAATAGTTGATATTCTCCCTATCAATGATAGCTGCAAATTCTCCCATTTTGTTAGATCTGTCGCTATCTGTTGTTTAAGCTTATCATAATTATTCTCCTTAAGAGTACCACATCTTGCTGTCAAATGTATTCCCAAATATTTAACCTTATTCGTGACCTGCATCCTTGATACTTCCGCCAATTCTTCTTTCTGTTTTTTTAACATATTTTTTGTCAACATCTTCGTTTTGTCTTTATTTTCAAATCAGCCACTTTCCCCAAATCTCCTATTTTGTTTATCAATTTGTTTACAAATTGAAGTGGTTCTTCCAAGATAAACACCAGGTCATCAGCAAATGCTTGCAATTTATATTCTTGATTTTGAATTTTCATTCCTTTTATTCCTTTTTCTTCTCTGATATTTCTGTTTAGTACTTCTAATGTTAACACAGATAACAGTGGTGACAATGGACAACCTTGTCTCGTTCCTTTTTGTATTTCAATAAATTCTGTCAGCTCTCCATTCATCATTATTTTTGCTGTTTGTTTATAATATATAGCTTCTATAGCTTGGACAAATTTCTCTCCAAAGCCCATCTGTTTCAATTGTAGTATCATAAATCGCCAGTTCACATTGTCAAAGGCTTTCTGTGCATCTAAAAACATCAAAGCCATTTGCTTTTCTGGGTGCGCATCATAATATTCCAATGTATCCAAAATTATCCTCAAATTGTCTCTAATCTGCCTTTTTGGCAGAAATCCATTTTGATCCGGGTGTATAAAATTATTTAAATATCTTTTAAGTCTTTCTGCTAGTATTGTAGCGAAGATTTTATAGTCTGAGTTTAGCAAAGATATAGGCCTATAGTTTTTGACTTGTTGTAGGTCGGTATCTTCTTTTGGAATAAGTGTAATATATGCTTCTAACCATGAGTTGGGTATTTTCTTCTGTAGCATTACTTCATTCATAATTTCTAGTAATGGGAGACTCAGTGATTCCTGCAAAGTCTTATAATATTCCGCCGGTAATCCATCTGGACCTGGTGCTTTCCCACTTTTTTGTTTTTTAATTGCTTCTGTCAACTCCATCATTGTTATCTTCTAACATCATCTCAACATCTTTTGGAATCTGAGGTAAATTCGCCTTATGTAAATATTGTTTAATATTTTCCTCTTCTATCTTTTCTTTGGTAGATAAGTCTTAAGTACTATTGCTATATTCAAGTTACTAAGGCTGAGAAATACTGTACTACACAGTCAACAGCAAAACAACCATATACAACCTTAAAACTGCTCCACCTGTAAAATCACTCTCGGATTCCTCCCGAGATTTCATTCCAGCCCAAATCCAAATATTCTGAGATTTTCTTCTGCAAGACCTTAGTCCAGAGGTCTTCAAACATGGCAGCTTTAAGACTTGTGGACTTCAACTTCCAGAATTCTCCAGCCAGCAGACAAGTCTTAAAGCTGCCAAGTTTGAAGACCTCTGCCTTAGTCTCTTATCTGAAATTATTTGACAGAAGTTCCAAAATGCAGTTTTTATTTGGGGTTTTGAAAACAAATCTATGTTTTGTTTTGTGCACATGGCTGGTTCCTGCATCACTGAGACATCCTGAACATGGCACTTCCGGGGTTTTGGAGTGTTAACTGGGTTTAAATTGGATTTAGCCTGGCTTTGCAAAGAGGAGGTTCTGGCTCACATGGGATCATTTCAGTTTCAGGACTGAAGGAAAAGGATTTTTATGCGGCGTTCTCCTCCGGAAGAATGGCTAAGCTCATGTTTTCCATAACAGTTTCTTCTCCCCCTCCCCCAAATGGACAAATGCAATGGGATCAGTGGTGGGTTTCAATTTTTTTTTACTACCGGTTCTGTGGGCGTGGCTTGGTGGGCATGGCAGGGGAAGGATACTGTAAAATCTCTATTCCCTCCCCACTCCAGGGGAAGGATACTGCAAAATCCCCATTTCCTCCCGATCAGCTGGGACTCGGGAGGCAGAGAATAGATGGGGGCGGGGCCAGTCATAATTTTTACTACTGGTTCTCTGAACTACTCAAAATTTCCGCTACCGGTTCTCCAGAACTGGTCAGAACCTGCTGAAACCCACCTCCAAATGGGATGATATGATTATCATGATATTACTGCTATTTTCCATTATAGCATAATATTTCTATAATCACAATATCCCATTGCATTTGTCCATTTGGGGAAAAGAAGTTTTTGCAATCTGAAGCTTCTGGAATGTCTTGGAGAACGTGTATAATTGAGATTGATTGAATATCGATCCATTAGTTGGAATAGAAATTGACTGACTTGGACTGCCATCCAAGACTGACAATAGACTGTAAACAACAGAGATAATGTGACTAAATAAACCTTTTTAAAAAAGGTGATTGTTTCGCTTAACTAGATAAACTCATAAATTCAGCAAACAACGATAAACTTTGGGCACGCTCTAGATTCAGAGGCAGCGAAGGCTCTGCTGCTGGCAAAGTTCACGAGGCAAAGCAGGAGGAGTTGCCCGAGTCCGGAAATCGTCAGGGAAGGAGGGCACAGGCTTTTGCAGCTGGCAGCTGTTTCAACACCAGGCATTACTCAGGCACAACCTGGCTAGGAAAAGCATGGTGGGCACCGTTCAGCCGGAAACCCCCCCACCCTCGGCCTCTGCAAGGTGCATCTCAGAGTTCCTGCTCACTCTGGTACCCATCGTCCCCTCTGAGTCCCAGGTTGAAATCTTGAGCTTTGATTTGCCACTGTGGCTCTCGTTGCTCTTCCGGATATTATGGATTCAATAGCTGGGTTTGCTTTGTGCTCAGTTATCGATTCATGTTCTGTTGTGTGGTTTGGTTGCTAAGATCTGTTGACCTAGGATGGGGTTGGAATGCAGTAAGGAGGAGAAAATGGAGGCTGAAACTGCTACTTACTTGTAAATCAGGAGAAAGCAAAGTCAGGTTCCTTCTTAACCATCCAAATTTGTAGAGTATAGCTCTAGTTTATGTCTTGCAGTTAAGAGTTCTTTTCCTGTGGATTAAGCTCGTTTGAGCTCTGAAGTCAGACTTAAGCCACCTGGGTGAGGGGTAGGGGTTGGGCCAGAAATTATCATTCTAAACAGCACTTTATGAAAAATAATTCAATTACGGTCTACATGTTTAAAATAGCAGCAGTGACTTAAATACCTCAAGGAAACACTCTTATTATTTATATTTCCATAAAAATAGCGGGATATACCGGTAATATTTTGCAGCATTTTTTCTGCCAAAGCTCACGCAATATCAAACGAGAGGTCTGGTCTCTCAAATGAGGAGGTGGTGAGTTCTAGTCCTGCCTTAGGCATGAAAGCCGGCTGGGTGACTTTGGGCCAGTCACTTCCTCTCAGCCCAATTCACCTCACCAGGTTGTTGCGGTGGGGAAAATAGGAGGAGGAAGACGTGCTGGGATATGTTTGCCACCTATTGTATATATATATAAAAAAACAATAAAGGCAGGATATTAAATGCATGTGCAGGTATGTAGGTACCTAGAGGTCTTTTAGGTGCTCCCAGCAAAAATCACAACCAAATGAAGATTTCGGAGCTCAGGAATAGCAGCATGTCTACACTTACGAGAACCAGTTTGGTTTAGCGCAGGGGTGTCAAACTCAGTTTCATTGAGGGCCGCATCAGGGCTATGGTTGACTTCAGGGGGTTGGGGTGGGCGTGGCCGACTGGGTGGATGCAGCTGACTTGACGCCACTCCCCAAACTGCTGGCATGTTTCCTCTTCGCATTGGGTAGACTGGGCCGAAGCCACGCTGGCCCAATCTTTCCTCTTTGCATTGGGTAGACCAGGACGGCCCCATGGGCCGGATCCAACCACATTGCGGGCTGGATTTGACCCATGGGCCTTGAATTTGACACGCCTGGTATAGTAGTTAAGGCAGAAGGCTAGAAACTGGGAGACTGTGAGTTCTATTCCCATCTTAGCCACGAAAGCTGGCTGGTTGACCTTGGGCGAGTCATACTCTCAACCCAATTCATAGGATTATTGTTGTGGGTGGAAAAGGAGGAAGATATATTAGATATGTTTGCTGCCTTGGATTATTTGTAAAAATAATAAATTATTGTTGTTAGTCAGGAAGTTGTGTCTGACCCATCGCAACCCCATGGACCACGTTCCTCCAGGCCTTCCTGTCCTCTACCATCCTCTGGAGTCCATTTAAGCTCATACCAACTGCTTCAGTGACTCCATCCAGCCACCTCGTTCTCTGCCGTCCACTTCTTCTTTTGCCCTCCGTCGTTCCCAGCATTAGGCTCTTCTCCAGGGAGTCCTTCCTTCTCATTAAGTGGCCAAAGCATTTGAGTTTCCTCTTCAGGACCTGGCCTTCTAAAGAGCAGTCAGGGTTGATCTCCTCTAGGACTGACCGGTTTGATCGCCTTGCAGTCCAAGAGACAAATAATAAATACAGAGTATAAATAAGTAAGTATGTAAGTAAGTAAATCAATAAGTAAGAGAAGTCGTGGAGAAGCTCCCACACAGTCCTCAGGTCTCCAGTAGGGATCAGATCCAGTAGTTCACTCTTTGGGATGGTGCCTTTTCTTGACTTTGCCAGCCAGCCCCAACTTCATCTCTGTGGGCTGTGATCCACCCGCCCATATGGGAGTTGCAGTTCAAGATATATCTGTAAAGAGTGCCTGGTGGGGAAGATTAATTTCTGTGCCAGGATCCTTGGCTGACCTTGAGTGGGCCTCCTGGTCAATCCTTGGGATTTCACCTTTGCTCCCCTTCTCCTTGGCAGGATGGCGCTTCACCGCAGCCAGAAGCTGAACCTGCTGCGTCTTGCGGTCCTCCTGACAGTGGCACTGGCTGGCATCAAGTTCTTCTTCCGGGACAGGTTGGTGCTGGGCGTTGGAGGGCGTCGACTTTTCCTGCGGCCTCTGCGATCTCTGGGTGGAATGAATTTTATCAGCCCTTACAGATTGTCTCCCTTTTGGCTGATTTCCTAGTTGTGACAAATGAAGCAAAAAATTATATCTGTTATCCAGACGTATGCTTATAATATTTTAGATTTTATACTTCATATTTTATATTTTTAATCTCTTGTGGGGTTTTTTTTTAATTAAAATGAAATGTGAATGTGCCATACGATTAAAAAAAACAACTCTTTTGGGTTTGGGTCTGCATAACGTTGGGGAGGTCCTAAGGAAGGATCCTTCCAACCTAGAACCAAGTAGAAATTTCCTGACAGTGAGAGCAATCAACCAGTGGAACAGAAGTTGCCTTCAGAAGTTGTGGGTGCTCCATCACTGGAGGCTTTCAAGAGGAGACTGGACAGCCACTTGTCAGAAATGGTATAGTAGGGTCTCCTGCTTGAGCAGGGGGTTGGACTAGAAGACTTCCAAGGTCCCTTCTAACTTTGTTATTCTGTTATTCCCTGCCTGGGGGGGCGGAGGTGTCTGCTGAGGCAGAGATCTCCTGCAAGGGCTCCCTGCTTCCTTTCCACACTGGTCTAGACCTCCAACTCAGGGGTGGGTTCCACTTATCTTTACTACCGGTTCGCAATGGGATCGCATGCAGATAGTTGATGATGACATCTGGGGCGGTGGGCGGGGCCCCCCATCGGTTTTACTACCGGTTCTTGCGAACTGGTCCGAACCGGGAGAAACCCACCACTGCTGCAACTCCAGAACCATTTTCCTTTCCCTGATCCCCTTCTAGGACTTGCTTTCTGCTAGGCATTTCACACTGGTAACTTGTCCGTCTTCCACCATGTCTCCAACATTATGGGTAGGGAACCACGAGAACTTGGGTTGTTGCAGGGCAAGTTATAAGAGGAACAGCATCTTCCCAAACCTGATTTCTGCCATGAGGGGAGAGGTCTAGTCCTCTGCCAGGTTAAGGCCACCCCTCTCAGGGGTACCAGCTTGGGGAAGGGTGTTCTGTGTACTAGGGAGAGAGAGGAATTTGGGGAGTGCTGTATTCCGTTGCCCTGCCCCAATGTTTCTCAACCATGTCAACTTGAAGAGGTGTGGACTTCAGCTTCCAGAATTCCCCAGCCAGCATGGCTGACTGGGGAATTCTGGGAGTTGAAGTCCACACTTCTTCAAGCGGCCAAGTTTTAGAAACGCCACCCTGGCGTCTACCTGCCCAGCATGGCTACGAGGAAACTGAGGAGTACAGAGAGTCCTCGACTTACAACCATTTGTTTAGTGACCCTTCAAAGTTACAATGGCATTAGAAAAAGTGACATGACCACTTTTTACACTTTTAACTGCTACAGCATCCCCAATGATCAAGTGATCAAAATTCAGAGGCCGGCAATTTAGGTATATTTATGACGGTCTCAGTGTTATGTGGATCACCTTTTGTGATCTCTGACAAAGTCAAGGAGGAAGCCAGATCCGCTTAACAACCATATTAGTAACTTAACAACTGTGGCAAGAGAGATCGTAAAATAGGGCAAAAAAACCTCACTTAACTTTCTTAGGTTGCAATGGGAAATTTGGGTTCAGTTGAAGTCGTAAGTCGAGGACTTACCTGTATGCACACTCTTTCCAATCTAGCCAGGTCTGTTTGCACATTGTGGACATGGCAAGAGGTTTCTGCTGCCTAAATTGTGTCCTTGCCCAACTCTGAATAGCCCAGGTTCCTGGGCAGTGGTGAAATCTGACCGGTTTGCCACCGGTTCGCTGGCTGCACATGTGCGGTGCACACCAAATGTGCACTACGTGCATGTGCATGTGCACCAAATGCACATTGCATGCGCATGCACACTACACATGAAACACATGCTGCACACACACGCATGCGCAGTATGTGCCAATGCGTGCTTCGCGTGGAAAAAGGAAGCTTGGGAAAGTAAGTAGAACAGCGAGAGGGGGGGAACAGCTGTGCCGCGTAATTTAGATTCACTAGAAAGCAGGATTTCCTACTAGGAACTGGTAGCTTTTTTTTACTACCAGTTTGCCCGAACCGGTAGTTTTTATCACTACCGGTTCGCCTGAACCGATGCAAACCGGTAGCATTTCACCCCTGCTCCTGGGGTATTTTTCCTGGCCCTGAGCCTCCTCTCTGTTCCTTGTTGCAGCTTTACACTGGACCAGCGCAGGGAAGTTAGTGGGGAAAGCCACTTCTGGGGCAAAGCTCAGGATGTGAAACAGCCAGGCAACAACCAGGCTCGATCGTTGGGGCATTCGGATCACCAGGCAATGGCCGGAGCCTCTGGCCCAGATTTGAAGAAACCGCCCCACCGGGACTTCAGCTCCACGCAGATGCGGTTGGTCCATCTGGACCTCAAAGGGGCAGCTCCTAAAGTATCCTACCTGGAGCAGGTGAGTTGCAATGTGAGCGGGACCCCAGGGAGGTGGGATTGTATCCAGTGGTGAAATGTAAAATTTGTTACTACCGGTTCTGTGGGTGTGTCTTGGTGGTGGGGGGTTAATGTGACTGGGTGGGCGTGGCCAACTTTTTTTTTTTTTACTTTTAAAAGCATTTTTTTTCTACAACCTTAAGAGGTTGCAGAAAAAAATGCTTTTAAAAGCCTCTGACGATCAGGCAACTCAGCTGGGATCGTCGGAGGCTTCTTGAAATGTATTGGCTGGATCAAGGACGATGGACAATGTGAAGATCATGTAATTAACCATTTATTAACAACAGCTGGGCTAACTGCCACAGCTATAACTAAAACTGCTTGGAACTCTGCCTGACAGCTGTTATAAAGCCAGCTGTCAGGCGGCTTAACCAATCAACAAACAGAACGTTACTTTAACCAATCAACGAACAGAATGTTACTTCCTACTTCAGCAGACTTAATACATTGCACCTCTAAAAGCATTTTTTTCTACAACCTCTTCAGCCGAAGAGGTTGTAGAAAAAAAAATGCCTTTAAAAGCCTCTGACGATTCCAGAGCCGCGCGATCATCAGAGGCTTTTTTTTTACTTTTAAAAGCATTTTTTCGGCCTAAGAGGTTGTAGAAAAAATGCTTTTAAAAGTTAAAAAAAAAAGCCTCTGATGATCGTGCAGCTCAGCTGGGCATAGGGGGTGGGGACAGGGATTTTTGCTACCAGTTCTCCAAACCACCCGCCGTCATCACTACCGGATCGGGCGATCCGGTCCGAACTGGGAGCATTTCACCCCTGATTGTATCTAACCCTCATTTCCAAGTACCTAAGATAGTGATGGTGAACCTTTTGGGCTCCGTGTGCCAAAACATCAGAAAATGTCTAACTTGACTCTTCTGGTATGTAACCTCCCCAACAACACCCCCCCCCAAATTCTTTACATATTTATTTATTTTTTAAAAAATACAGTTCAATCATATATGGTGCTATCTATTACATAAAGAAATGTCAAATAATTACAAAAATGAAATACAAGTAAAACAAAGTCATTTTTGGAGTAGCGCTTTCAAGAATAATTGTTGTCAGCTGTTGGTGAGCACTATTATGTCATCAAAACATGGCTTGTCACGCATGTCATAGGTTTGCCATCCCCTTTCTAAGAACCACTTGTTCTACAGACAGTTGTTTTGTGGCCCTTTGTGACACAAAAAGCTTTGTGTGTGTAATTTGCTTGGATTTTTTTTTTTTTGTTAATTCACTACCCTCACGATAGACATGCATTTAGAAACACACGCCTCTTCCCATAATAATAATAATCTAGTTATGTCAGTCTTTAAAGGAAACAAAAATCTTACACCTGAAAGATCTACACCTGTAGAGCTATGAAACAATTGCAATTGTTTTAATTCCCAAGAACTCACTTTCAAGCAAGGTGGTTAGAGTGCAGGAAAAAGAGAAAACTCACGGTGACTCATGTTTAAGCATGTCCATATCTGGTTTCATTCCTTCCTGGAGTGAGCAAGTCTTCCTGTACCAGTCAGGTTTGTCTGTTTATCAGATGAATGTTTCACCTTTAAGGAGTGATTTTGGGTTCTCCTAACCTTTAAAAAGGTGGGAAGTGGTTCTGAGAGGAAAAAGTTTAAGAAACGCTGCTCTAGATGAAAGAGTGAAGAGACTGATCTAGGCAGCCTTGAACCATGAACTGAAATAAATATGGTGGAATTTAACAGAGAAACGTTCCAGGGATGGGATTCATCCGCTTCGGACTGGTTCGCGCGAACCAGATGTTAATTTTAATCTGGTTCACCGAACTGATAGTTACAAGGACCGGGTGACCCTGCCCACCCCGCCCTTTCCTTCCCAGGAGTCTCCACGCAGCCTGTTTTGAATGTGCAGGGCCTGCGCAGCGGCTCTGGGAGGGCGAAAAACAGGCCTGCCAGAAGTCCAAAAATGGGCCCGTTTCCGGCCTCCAGAGTCCGGGATAGGCCGTTTTCGAGGAAAGCCCCCAGAGTCTGGGGAGGGTGAAAACGCCCCTCCCTCCGGTGCAGGAGCTGAGTAGGCCACACCCACCATGGCCACGCCCACCCAGCAACTGGGCAGGGAACTGGTTGCTAAAATTTCTGAATCCTACCTCTGAAAAGTTCTATGCTGCATGTGCAGAGGAAAATGGTAAGGTGCACATTTGGGATAGGAAAGAGCTGGGTTGAGGGCAGTGGAAAGGATCCGAGTGTCCTGGTCCAATGCAGGAGCCAGGAATGTGATGCAGCTACTCAAAAGTCTAGTGAAAAGAAAGTCTAGGGGTGATAGGATAGCAGTGTTCCAATATTTGAGCTGCCACAAAGAAGATCCACCTATTTTCCAAAGCACCAGAAGGCAAGACAAGAAGCAATGGATGGAAACTAATCAAGGAGAGAAGCAACCTGGAATTAAGGAGAAATTTCCTAAGTGTAAAGTAAGAAAGCCTCCAGTGATGAAGCTCCCACAACTTCTGAAGGCAACTTCTGTTCCATGGGTTGATTGTTCTCACTGTCAGAAAATTCCTCCTTATTTCCAGGTTGAATCTCTCGTTGATCAGTTTCTATCCATTATTCCTTATCTGGCCTTCGGGTGCCTTGGAAAATAGCTTGACCCCACTCCTCTCTGGGGCAGCCCCTCAAATATTGGAAGACTGCTATCCTGTCTCCCCTGGTCCTTCTCTTCACTAGACTAGCCATGCCCAGTTCCTGCAACCGTTTTTCATATGTTTTAGCCTCCAGCCCCCTAATCATCTTGGTTGCTCTTCTCTGCACTCTTTCCAAAGTCTCAACATCTTTTTTATAGTATGGTGACCAAAACTGGATGCAGTATTCTAGGTGTGGTCTTACTAAGGCTTTATCAAGTGGTATTAGTACTTCACTTGATTGTATCCCTCTGTTAATGCAACTTAGCATTTCATTGGCTTTTTTGGATGCCACTGCACACTGCTGGCTCATATTTAGCTGGTTGTCCACTAAGACTCCAACATCCCTCTCGTCAGCTTCTATTGCGTCGTTTGCAGGGAAACAAGCTCACGAAAGAAACACCATGGAGATCTGACCTGGGCGACGGCGTGGGTGCCAGCAGAGAGGGCTCTGCATGCCACCTGTGGCACGCCTGCTGGGGGTGAACGGAAACGGCCTCCCCTCTTCCCTCCCTGCTGGATTCTGCTTCCTCCCCACCTATCCTCCACCCCCGGTGCTGAACTGCTCTGACAGTCTTTGTGTGTCCTCCTCCTGCACAGATCTTCCCACTCTTCTCCAAGATGGGGGCCAACGGGGTCCTGATCGAGTACGAAGACATGTTTCCCTTCAAGGGAGAACTGGAGATCCTCAGGTCTCCCTATGCTTACAGGTAAGGCTGACTGGAGGGCTTTGGCAAGGGCTGGGGGGAGATGGAGGAGCTAGGCCAGGTGTGGCTCTAGCCCTCTAAGGCAGGGGTCTCCAACCTTGGCAACTTTAAGACTTGTGGACTTCAACTCCCAGAGTTCCTCAGAACTCTGGGAGTTGAAGTCCACAAGTCTTAAAGTTGCCAAGGTTGGAGACCCCTGCCCTAAAGAAGTAAAGATCCTCAAGCTCAGAAACGGTTCGTGCGGTGTGCCTAGAGTAGCCGAAATGGGATGGGGTGGGGTGGAGAAGGGGAACCCAGAGCTCATCTGCCATGTTCTCAGCGGTGTGCGGGCATCGGCGTTTCACAATGGTCTGTGCAATCACTGAGTTGGCTTAATGAGTAGCCAGAAAGCCAATAGGCCATTCCTTTGGTTGATTCAAGGGGGGTGAAGGGTGGGGGAGGAATCTATTTGTTCTTTACTGCAAGGTGATGGGGGGGGGCATGTCACATGCATCCAGCCAGCACCCTTTCAGGGCTGCCTGCATTTCGAGATGGGATCTGCATGTGTGTGTATTTTTTTTATGGATTTGAGAAGGATTTTAAAGAGCAAAATAAGAACAGTGACAGAGTTGGAAGGGACCTCGGAGGTCATGTAGTCCAACCCCCTGCTCAGGCAGGAGACCTGTGCTAGGGATTCGAACCGCCGAACTGCCGATCTTTCTGATCGACAAGCTCCGCATCGTAGCCACTGAGCATGGGGTCTCCCCTCCCCTCTCTTTAAAAAAAAAACTGGCTCACCTCTGCAGGACCCCTTAGCAAAACCTGGCCTGTCCGTGGTTAGCAAGTGGCTCTCTTTCTGTATCCCTTTTGCAAATGGAAGTGGTGCCCCCCCTCCTGTCCTCCCTTCACCCCCGTTTCCTTCCTGGGTCCACATTCATGGGCCGCTTTGAATATCCTGAGCTTTTCATGGATTTGTGCAGGAGCAGGAGATTGGGTTTCTGACGTGCTGCCCGAGGCCAGAGCTTCTCATTGAGATGGGCAAAGCGGTCCCTTTGGGTCGTCTTAGCAGGCCCCCTCCCTTGCCTCTCGTCCCTGCTGGGATCCAGTGCTGACTGCTGTTTTTTTCTCTTGACAGCGAAGAAGACATCTCAAAAATCCAGGAGCTGGCAGGCCTCAATAAATTGGAAATAATCCCGTTAGTGCAGACTTTCGGGCACGTGGAGGTGGGAGCTGCCGGCTGTCTTTAATTTGTCCCCCGTGCACTTTTGAGGAATGGCCTCTCTGGTTTTGCACACATACCGTGGTCCCATTCTTTGATGTTTGCACGTGAGGCTTGAGTTGAATGGGCTCCAGCTAAAACAAGGGGGACACGCAGCTGTGGCTCAGCCGTGGCCAACAAATTGTTCTGGCAGTTCAACAACACACTGAAGTTGTCGACAGAATTAATCCTCTTTGTGGTTTTGTGCAATCCATCCAACCATCAACTCAACCGAATAGGCTGGGCTTGCATAATATGCCCCAGCTACAAAATATAAACCAGGCTAACTTGAACTCAGTTTGAACCCAGTTTGTTTAAATTGCCATGATTTTGTGACAGTAGGTTTTATAAGTCACATTCTCTGATTTCATGTGCTGATTTTCATTTGGTAGTCTTTCCCCTCTACCTCTTGTTCCTCAGAATTAGTTGTGAGCCATTCAGGGCCGAAGTGAAAATCACACTGTATAAAATCTACGAGATACGCTGGCCGCGGGGGCAGGTAAAATAGGCTCAACAAAAAGCATATGTGCTGTTTAATAAAATTTGCTAGTTGGAAAAGGTGCTAGAAGACCCTTGAATTCTGCCCAATAGAGTTATAAACCAAAGAGGAGGCCTACCCCAGGGTGGGCTGCTGGGGGTTCGCAGGGGTTCAGGAGAACTCTAACTAAGATTCTGTGCAGTTCGGAGAATCCCCAAATCCCACTCCTGGCTGGCCCCGCCCACCCCTCCCCTATGTCTGCTATGTCTGCATGGCAAGCCAAATCTGCGGCTTGCAGCATTTGTGGCATTTCTAGGTTGCAGAGTTCCACCGGAGCAGATAGCGATGCAAACCATTGGCTGCATGAACTGGGTGGGTGTTGTGGCCCGCCAGCGGCCTGCACGGATCGTGGCTGATCCCAACGAGGAGGAGGCTGGTGTGGTGTCGCACCAGCAGCCTGCACAGCCGGCGCTCACGTCGGACAGCGAGGAGGCTGAAGAGGATGTGGTGCCAGAGGCAGAGACTCAGCCAGGGCCTTCAGAACCTTTAGGGGCTCCTTCAAGTGGAGAGAGCGAAGTGGAGGAGCCTCTCCTCAATGCTCGAGCACACAGGGCTGCCAAAAGACAGGGGTGGCTACTCAGGAGGAGGAGGTCTTCTCGAGAGTAAGGCTTGACAATAATTGGCCACTCCCTTAGCCTACTTAAGTCACACACCGTTAGTAAGTTTCTTGCTAGAAACAACTTGTAATTATCAACAGAGCATTTTTGGAAAAGTCTTATCTTGCTTTCTGGGCTGGTTGCCAACCTTTGCTGGACTTTGGTTTATTCTTGCTACTTAATAAATTCGATAAGGACTGTTGGTGTGTGTCTATATCCTCGGGAATCCGGAGCTGGGGCAGAACAGTGGGTCAGGGGATCCACACACCTGTTCTCCCCAGATTGTTCTGGTTGCACCACAAAGCTAGTTGTTCAACCTCCTGTCTATATACAGATTCATCGTTGTCTCAAATGAGACCAACTTAAATTAAATTAGTAACAATCTTATGGTGGGCTGGTATCTTTTCTAGCCTTGAATGCAAGCTTTGTCTCCCATGAGCACCATACTGGCCTCATCCCCAGGTCCACTTCTTCAAGGCATGGCCAACAGCTCTTTCTTTCTTTCTTTTTTGCAGTTCATCTTGAAGCATGAGAAGTACCAGCATCTGCGCGAGGTGGAGCGTTTCCCCAACAGCTTCAACCCCCACCTGCCAGAGACCCTGGCCCTCCTGAAGGCCCTGCTCATCCAGGTCCTCAGCAAGCACCCCCACTCCAGTTGGGTACACATCGGGGCTGATGAGGTACATAGAGGGAGAGAGTCGGCTGCCCTCTCTCTTTGGAACTGTATTTCTCTAGAAACAATTTGGTGGAGGAAGCAGTTTACCATTCATTTGAGTTGCTAAAAGAATGGCCCTGCAAGCATGAAAGTTTGATCCCATTGGTTGGTGCAATGTACGGTCGATGCCCCAAACCCAACCTTATTCTCTGTGTTAACCTCATGCCTCAAGATCATGTTGCCAACATTTTCTGTGGCAAGTTTAAGATACGGATTATAAGACACACCCTTTTTTGGGGGAGGAAAACAAGGGGGGGGGAAATCTGCCTCTGCCTCCCAGCAATTTGCCTCCTTGCAGCAAACCGCAAACAGCTTGTTTCAGTTTCAGCTTCAGCACATCCTGATTAACACAAGCAGCTGATTGTCGGTTGGATCGGCCTCCCGACTATCAGTTGTTTCAGGCTGCAGGGATTGCCATAACCTAACCTCTGTGTACCCCATTTTCCGCCCGTTCTGGGTGGCAGGGATCAGAATGGGCGGAAAATATGTGCGCTGAGGCCGAAAATGGGGCACACAGAGGCCAAAAATGGGATGCTGAGGCCAAAAATGGGGCGCGTGGAGGCAGCAATAGGCAATGGCAATCCCTGCAGCCTGAAACAGCTGATGTTCTGGAGGCCTATCCAACCAACAATCAGCTGCTTGTGCTAATCAGTTCTGTGCTGAAGCTGAAACTGAAACAGGCTGTTTGCTGCAAGGAGGCAAATTGCTGGAAGGCAGATGCCAAAGGGTGGGGGTCGGCTGGTGGGTGGGGCTACATGCGGTGTATAAGACGCACCCAAATTTTCACCCTCTTTTAGGGGGGAAAAAGTGCGTCTTATATTCCAGTAACTCCAAAAAACGTATGTGGGACTCAAATGTATCTATTTTAATTTGATTCGGAGCTCCCTACCCCCTCGTCCCCTCAGATCCTTCATCCCAGCCTGCCTGGGGCCACAGTTGTGCATGGGAATCTCAAATGGATTGAAAGCAGCTAAACCTTTCAGGGCAACAAGACACGTCCTCCTCTCTGTTAATACTGTGTTTTCCCAAAAATACGACCTACCCCGAAAATAAGTCCTAGCCTGATTTTTTTATGGGGTGGGCCTAATTATAAGCCCTATCCCAAAAATAAGCCCTAGTGAAGTGGGTGGGCATGGCCAGCACAGGAGGCAGCCCTTCCCTTCCCCGGTCACATCATGGCTGCCGGGCCCCTTAACCGAGGCCCGCAGATCAGCTGATCCAGCGAGGGCCAGGAGTTCTGTCTCTTATTTATTTATTTATACATTTATTACATGTATTTATATGCCGCCATTCTCCCGAAGGACTCAGGGCGGCGAACACAAGTTAAGAAACAAGTGGAATAAAATAATTTAATCCAAATAATTAATTAATAGTAAATAATAAAGCCCGGAATCAGTCTCAGCCTATTTGTTTGAAAAGCCAAGTCTTCAAATCCCGACGGACCTTGGACCCTGTCTTATTTTCGGGGAACACGGTAACTTTGGGGAGGTTGGACATCCATCTGTCTGAAATGACATAGGATTTCCTGCCTGAGTATTGGACTAGAACAGGGACGGGCAAGTGTGGCTCTTTTACAACCTGTGGACTTCAACTCCCAGAATTCCTGAGACAGCCAAGCTGTCTCAGGAATTCTGGGAGTTGAAGTCCACAGGTTGTAAAAGAGCCACATTTATCCACCCTGGACTAGAAGACTTCCAAATTCCCTCCCAACTCTTCTGTTCTGTTTTGTTATTCCCAGCTCTTTTCCCCGTTGACGATCCTTAGAAAGAACTTGCTTCTTTCTCGCCCACTAAATGACAGATTTTCTGCCTCTTGCTTTCAAGGGATGTTTTTCTCCAGCAGCCCTTCGGGGAATTAGGCACGTAGCGAAGCAGCACATAACATTTTCCACCGTTCTGTGTCACACACGGACAAGGTTTTGCTGGCATTCTAACAGATCTTCCTTTTGTGCACACGCGGATATATGGAATCTGCTTTTGTCATTACAGAAGATCATTCAAAAACATTCTCTGGGAGGTTAGAATCAGATTTAACAGAGTCACAAAAAAAAAAAAGGAGGAAACTCCATATTTCTAAGAAAGTTTCTTTTAAAGGGCTGATTCCTACTTTTTTAAAAAATTTTTTGCAACTTTAGCAATTTCGAAAACATTTGGGAACCAAGACATGCTTATTTATCAGCCTGCTATTAGCGTTAGCTGTGATTAGTTAGAAAAGTGTTCCAAGTTACACATGGACCTGCCTCTTACTAAAATTAGCCTCTTCGATGTATTAAAAACAACAGTTGGGTATATCTGTACTTCTGTGTTTCCAAGTTAATCATTCCCCCAAGCATTGATAGGCATTTATTCAATGACTTGTTTGACATTTCCGAACAGGAAACTGAAGCATGATGAGGCTTGGTAGCCATGGTCTTGGGTTGTAGACGAGGGTATGAAGTGAGAATACACTATGCCTTTTGGTAGCTGTTTGGTTAATGGTTCTCACTGTTAAGAAATTTCTCCTTAGTTCTAGGTTGCTTTTCTGCTTTGATTTGGGAACTTCTGTCTGGAACAGCTATCAGGGTTCTAAGTAACAGACCCAACTCAAACAAAACTCTGAGGCCTGAGTGTTCCTCAAACAACATGGCATATTGGCACAGTTCTAAAGCCCTGTGGTTTTCCCCACCCAAATTAAAAGTAAATGTTCTCCCCCCCCCCGCCCTTTACATGTCCATCACATGGTCCTATCGGGTCACAGTCCAAGTATCAGTTAGTTAGTTCCAGTCCACGCCTTCCCAACACCTGGTGAGAGTGTCCTTGGTTTCCATAAGAAAGAATTTTATTTTGGCTACAACTCCCCAGCTATCTCTATTCTTTCCCTCCCGTTCCCACAGCTCCAACCAGCCCAGCTGTGGCAGCCCTGATGATGCTCCAAAATGGCTTCAGGGTTGACAACAGCCCATCTTTCTCAAGTACAGGTCAGGGGTGGGCTGCTGGGGGTTCACAGGGGTTTGGAAGAACCTCTAGCTAAGATTCTGTGCAGTTCATAGAACCCCCAAATCCCACTCCTGGCTGGCCCCGCCCCTCCCCTCCCCTCCCCTCCCAGGAGTCCTCATGTGGCCTGTTTTGGATGCAGGTAAGTGCAGGGAGTGCGCGGAGGCCTGGGGAGGGCGGAAGTTCGGGAAGGCCAGAAACGGGCCTCCAGAGGGCCTCCGGAGCCTGGGGAGGCCGTTTTCACCTTCCCGGAGGCTCGAGGAAAGCCTCCCGAGCCCGGGGAGGGCAAACACACACACACACCAATGTGATGCAGGAGGCCGACTAGGCCACGCCCACCGTGGCCACGCCCACCCAGCAACCGGGCAGAGAACCCCTTGCTAAAATTTTTGAAGCCCACCCCTGGTGCAGGTGGAACCCCCTCCACCTTTCATCCCATCTCAAAACGATCGATTAGGATGGTTGCTCCAGCCACTATGAAAGGGCAGAGCCTGCTGGAGAAAACAGCCCCCCTCCCCTCTCAGCCCCACCTCGCCACTCTGCACTGTTCAGACACCTCTTTGGCCCTGCAGGTCTTCCACTTGGGCGAAGGGCTGGATTCCAAGAACTGGATGAGTCGCAACGGAGGCGATACGGGGAAGATGTACCTGAACCACATTCGGGAGGTGGTGCAGTTCATCGTCAGCCAGCCGTGGGGGCTGCAGGTGCTGCTCTGGGACGACATGCTGCGGAAGGTTGGCGTCGCAGCCATCCAAGGTCAGTGCCATCCGCCGGGACTTTCCTGGGCTGTCACTGGCATCAGCGTGCCCGTCTTGCAGCGGTCTTCCTCGGGACTGTCCCTGCACACCTGGGCGGTGGGGTGAGGTCCATGGCTGTGATTGGCTGAGCTGCCCTTATGTCAGCCAAACATTGGGGGAGGCTGGACAGGGCTGGTTATAGAGAAGAGCAGGAGAGAGAGACCATCACGGGCACGAAGCAGCTCAGTCATTCAAGAGAAGCAGGGGGGAGATGGGGTGGGCAGAGGAGAGACCCCAGTGCCGAGAGAAGCTGCAAAGGGAAGTTGGCCCCTTGATGTGAACTCACCCACCCGATCCCCGGCTGCAGGGCTTTCGTTCTTCATTCAGGGTTATGGATTTGGAGAAGTCACCTGTGAATCTCACCCAAGGACTGACTGATGTCTTTCAGATTCTGGCATTGCCAAACACGCGTCTCCCGTCCTGTGGTTTTACGCTCCAGACTTCGATACGCAGCAAATAGGTTGGCTTTCCATTGTCTCTTTTCTGTCATGTCTTCGCAGGGTGTGTAGGGAGGTTAAGCAGCTTCATAAAACAAGGCAATTTTTGTTTCTTGAAAGGATCCCTTGTGTCCCAGTTGGCATGCAGGGAGGAGCCCCCTAATTTTAATCCCCACAATCGCGTTCCTGTGAAATTGGCATGTCTGAGAAAGGGAAGTGCCGGATGTCGCTTTGCCCGGGACCCCACAGCCCCCCCCCAGAAGTGAACTCCCTGAGGGCTCCCGGGCACCTCTTCGGTTCTGAGTAGCCCAGGGCTGCCGTGGAGCATGGATGACCCTCTCTGTCCTTACTCTAGGAAGGTACATTGAAAAGTACGCCGAGTGCGGCTTCCCAACCATCTGGTTTGCGAGCGCCTTCAAAGGCACCACGGGCCCCGCCCAGGCCTGGACCCCCTTAAACACTCACCTGCAGAACCACCTGCGATGGCTGAAGGTCATCCAGTCCATGGAGAAGACGCCCTCCATCCGTTTCCAGGGCATCGTGCTCACCGGCTGGCAAAGGCAAGTGGAATGGGCGGTCAGGGGTGGGTGGGTGGAGAGTCTACAGGAGGAAAGTGGCTGTTTGCCCTCCACCCCCAGGAATCCCAGCCCTCCATCTGCTTCAGGGGTGAAATTAAAAAAATTCCCCTACCGGTTCTGTGGGTGTGGCTTGTTGGGGGAGGTCATGTGACTGGGTGGGCATGGCCAACTCATATCGAGGGGTTCCTCACCGGCCCCTCCCCTCCCAGTCACTCCTTGTCGCAAATGGCAGGAAAATGGGGAGGAGAATATTCCTATCTACCATCCTTCCCTCAGTCTGTGCTCAGATTGAGGAATGGATGACAGGCAGGAAAATCCCCTTCCCCATTTTCCTGCCTTTCACAAAAACGGCTCCATTCCAGCTGCTCCCCCCCCTCCCCCTCCCTCCTGGGGACTATCTTAAAAGGGACAGGCTGCAGCAGCTCCCTTGTGAATGGAGGAAAAAGTTAGCATTCTCTCTGCTGCATTTAACATTGAATTCTGTGGCAGAGAGAAGGCTAACTTTTCTCCCTCCATTCAGAACGGAGTTCTGCTCCCTTTGGTTCCCTCCTGGCCCCCTCCCTCCCGGGGACTACCTTAAAGGGACAGGCTGCAGCAGCTCTGTTCTGAATGGAGGGAGAAAAGTTAGCATTCTCTCTGCTGCATTTAACATTGAATTCTGTGGAATATCGAGCGGCCGAAAGAGGTGAGTGGTGACCAGCCGGGCGTAGGTGGAGCCAAGGAGGGGTAATTACTACTGGTTTGGCGAACTATTGCCCATAATCCCTAGCGGTTCACCCGAACTGGTCCGAACCGGTAAGATTTTACCCCTGATCTGCTTCCCCTGGGGGAGAAGAAGCGCCCCAGGCTGGCTTCAAGACTCATCCCCAGGCAGCCGTGCCCTCTGCCAAGGCTTTAGATGGGGCAGGGTTCCTTTTCTGCTTCCCAGAGTAACGCTGGACGAGGCAGAACTGGGAGCCCCCAGCCTTGCCTAGTTCCCCAGGGAGGACTGGAGAGGGAGGGGGTCCGGATGCTGTGCCGCTGCCCTTCCCCAGAAGAAAGGCCCAGTCTTAGCATCCCCTCTTGCCTTTAGAAATTCCCCACCCAAAAGAAAGATGAGGCCTCCTGCAGCTTTGGGGTCTCCTCTCTCTCCCCCCCCCCCCCCCCCCCCCCCCGTTCTTGCTTTTTGCGTTACCAGCAAGGAGGAGGAGATCCACTGCCCCGATAGGCAAAAATGGGGGGAATCTAGTGGGTCACAAAGGAGCAACCGCCTCCTATTCTCCGTGCAGGTATGACCATTACTCTGCTTTGTGTGAGCTGCTGCCCGTTGGGATCCCCTCGCTGGCCATGTGCTTGCAGACCCTGGTGAACGGTGAGAAGGGAGCCTGGGCGTTTGTGGGGAGGGGGAAGGTGGGCAGGAGTTTATATCAATCAGAATGCAGCTGGACCTTGGGGGTCTTCTAATCCAGGGGTCTCCAACCTTGGCAACTTTAAGCCTGGAGGACCAACTCCCAGAATTCTGGAATTTGAAGTCCACCAGGCTTAAAGTTGCCAAGGTTGGAGACCCCTGTTCTAGTCCAACCCTCTGCTCAAGCAGGATAATCTATACCACTTCAGATAAGTGACTGTCCAGTCTCTTCTTAAAACCCTCCAACTTCTGGAGGCCAGTTGTTCCACTGGTTAATTGTCCTCACTGTCAGGAAATTTTTCCTTTGTTCCAGGTTGCTTCTCTCCTTGATTAGTTTCCACCCATTGTTTCTTGTCCTGCCCTCAGGTGCTTTGGAGAATAGCTTGACTCCTTCTTCTTTGTGGCAGCCCCTGAGATATTGGAAGTCTGCTATCATGTCCCCCCTAGTCCTTCTTTTCTCTAGACCAGCCATTCCCAAATCCTGCAACCGTTCTTCATATGTTTTGGTGTCCAGGCCTTTAATTGTCCTAATTGCTTTTCATGGAGGACTTTACTGAAGGCTAGTGGATTTCTTCCTCTTTCTTCTTCTTCTTTCTTCTTCTTTCTTCTATCCTTCTGAGGTGGGTAAGATGAGGACCCAGATTGTTGGGGGCAAGAGGCTGATTCTGTAAACCACTTAGAGAGGGCTGCAAAGCGTTGTGAAGCAGTATATAAGTCTAAGTGCTATTGCTGTGATCCTTCCTTCCTTCCTTCCTTCCTTCCTTCCTTCCTTCCTTCCTTCCTTTCCTTCCTTCCTTCCTTCCTTCCCTTCTTCCTCCCCCTCCCTCCCTCCCTCCCTCCCTCCCTCTCTTCCAAATTCCTCTCTTCCTCTCTTCCTTCCTTCCAAATTCCTCCCTCTCTCCCTCCCTCCCTTCCCCCTCCTTTCCAAATTCCTTCTTCCTTCCTTCCTTCCTTCCTTCCTTCCTTCCTTCCTTCCTTCCTTTCTTCTTCCTTCCCTCCCTCCCTCCCTTCCAAATTTCTCCCTTCCTTCCTTCCAAATTCCTCCCTCACTCCCTTCCTTTCTTCCCCTCCCTCCTTTCCAAATTCCTCCCTCCCTTCCTTCCTTCCTTCCTTCCTTCCTTCCTTCCTTCCTTCCTTCCTTGCTTCCTTGCTTGCTTGCTTGCTTGCTTGCTTGCTTGCTTGCTTGCCAGTGGTTAGAATGCAGTATAGAAGGCTGACTCTACCCACTGCCAGCAGTTCAATCCTGGTTGACTCAAGATTGATTCAGCCTTCCATCCTTCCGAGATGGGTAAAATGAGGACCCAGATTGTTGGGGGCCATCGGCTGACTGTCAGGCTTGCTTCCTTCAAAGTCCAGGAAAGAATGAGCCAAACTCCATATTTTATAGAGTAATGTACTTTTACTGGAAAATGAAATGAACGCAATCAAGGAAAGCTGAAACTAAAGCAATAGGCGCGAAAGTTGCATAGAGAAAGCATCCCCTCCCACTGTCCATCATCAATCACCCAATCCAAAGGTCTCCCAGAGGTCAGGTGGACACACGTCTGGCATCGTCATCAATCAGGAACGCGATGACGGTTGACCCGATAGCCACTTCGGTGCTTAGGTTTCGTTTCTTCAATCCACCAGCTTGCTTCCCTCCCCCTCCGCTCTTCCCTCCCCCGTTTCTTATAGCAGCCAAAGCAGAAAGTCGGAGGCTGACATTGACTCTAAACCGCTTAGAGAAGGCTGCAAAGCACTGTGAAGCAGTATATGTCTAAGTGCTATTGCTATGTCTGCATGGCAAGCCAAACCTGCAGCTTGCAGCATTTGTAGCATTTCTAGGTTGCAGAGATCCACCGGAGCAGATAGCGATGCAAACCATTGGCTGCATGAACTGGGGGGGGGGAGGGGAGGGGGGGATCCACACACCTGTTCTCCGGCAGCCTCTCCAACTGGCAGGACTTTGGGGCCCCCAAGTGGTGAATTGAAGAACAGCTGCCTTGTCCTCCGCAGATGCCAGAGCCACCTCTGGGGAGGGGGGGTCCTTCCCCCTCCAGCTGCTCTCTGAATATCCTGCCAGAAGGGGGGATGGAGGGAGCCCCCCTCCGTACCTTTGTGGGGAACGTTTGAATCTTTGTTGCTTAGAAAAAGCTTTTCCTAAATTCTGTTCGATTGGGAGAAATGTTCCTTCTTGTCGTACTTGTGGGGTTCTTTAAATAATTTCATTACAAGCATACGAAGAGTTAAAAACTATTTTTGTTTCTGTGTGTGTGTGTGTGTGTAACAGAATTAATTTCCAGACTCTGTCACACGAAGGATAGGCAGGGCCACTTGATGGCTCTAAAGCAGTGTTTCTCAACCTTGGAAGCTTGAAGATGGATGGACTTCAACTCCCAGAATCCCCCAGCCAGCAGCGCTGGCTGAGGGATTCTGGGAGTTGAAGTCCGCCCATCTTCAAGCTTCCAAGGTTGAGAAACACTGCTGTAAAGAGATTTAAAGAGATTGACCGACCGTCCTGGCTCCTCACAGGAGGCCTGGTTTGAGCTAGGGTTAGCCTGCTGAATGAATTTAGCCACTCTGGTTTGTAAAATCTGGTTGGGTAGGCAGGGATTCCTGGGTGTAAGCAGGCCGGGGTTTCCTACACATTTGTTGTGCCTTGGTGCTTAAGGGATGAAGGGGGTCCCTTAGCCAGATGTTCAGATAATTTGACCGTGTCCCCAGCTACCCCCATCGCAGCTCTCGGGGCCCAAAGAGAAAATTGCCCAACCTGCTTCCTGCCTCTTTCTGTCATGTTAACTCAGCCAACGTCAGTTTAGCTCTTAGCTCCACGTAGGCAGGTTGTGGCTTCATGCGATGTCCGATCTGGGTCAAGGATTACAGATGCAAAGATTAAAGAGCTGGCAAGACAACTGGCAGAAGGGGGCTGCCTTTGTGGAATGGGTCAAGGAGGGATGATCTGGAGAGCTGCAACTGGACCGGTCAGATTCTTCTCCAAGGTCAAACAATCCCATGCCTGTTTTGGGGGTGGCACATCCGAAAGGCACCCATTGGTATTGCAAACCCCTTTCCAGGACTCTGCCAGGTTCCTCGGATGCCCAGGAGGCTCCCCCTGCCTCCCAAAAGAGACCTGGGCAGTTAGCTGGACGAAAGTCCATGGAAGAGGTAGTCTCCCTACCCCCCACCCCCTGAATTTTTTTTTTGAAGAGTGGGAAGGCTTTGTTTCCTCCCTGGGGATGGGTCTGGGCCAGTGGTGAAATCCAAAATTTTTTACTACCGGTTCTGTGGGCGTGGCTTGGTGGGCGTGGTGTGGCTTGGTAGGCATGGCTTGGTGGGCGTGGCAGGGAAAGGATACTGCAAAATCTCCATTCCCTCCCCACTCCTGGGGGAAGGATATTGTAAAATCTCCATTCTCACTCCACTCTGGGGCCAGCCAGAGGTGGTATTTGCCGGTTCTCTGAACTACTCAAAATTTCCGCTACCAGTTCTCCAGAACCTGCCAGAACCTGCTGGATTTCACCCCTGATCTGGCCCAGAGTGGTTTTGGCCTCTCCTCTTTTGCTTGGGGGCAGCACAAGGGCCTCTCCCCTCCCTCCAGCTTCACCAACCTGGTGCTCTTCGGAAGCCCCTTAAGTCACAAACAGTGAAGGGCCATTTAAACTGGACTCTCCCACCTGCAGCCTGCCTTCCCTGCCCTCCTGCATTTGGCCAGGGTCACACTTTCCTGCCTCCTGCTTGTTGTTGTGGGCAGTCAGATCAAGGGCAGATTACAGATAGTTCTCGATTTACTATCACAATGGAGCCCAAAATTTTGTGTTGTTAAGCGGGGCAGATTAACGTCTGCCCCATTTTACGACATTTTTTTTGCCACAGTCATTAAACGAATCCCTACAGTTAAGTATATCTGACTTCTCCATCAACTTTGCTGGTCTGAAGGTCACAAAAGAGAATCACGTGCACAATCCGGGACACTGCAGTCGTCACAAATAGGAGTCAGTTGCCAAGCATCTGAATTTTGATCACATGATGGTGATGATGCTGCAAATGTGGGAAAACGATCATACTTCGGTTTTTTCAGTTCCTTTGCAACTTTGAAGAGTCACTGAATGAACTGTTGTAAGCCAAGGACTACCTGTTCCGTGCTGTGTGCAGACAAGTCCGTGTACAGGGACAACACAGACATGTTCTCTGGGCCAGGGATCTCCAACCTTGGCAACTTTAAGACTGGTGGACTTCAACTCCCATAATTCCTCAGCCAGCTGGCTTTTTTTTTTTTTATTTGATTTATATGCCGCCCTTCTCCGAAGACTCAGGGCTGCTTACAATGTGCTAAGCAATAGCCTTCATCCTTTTGTATATTTATACAAAGTCAGCTTATTGCCCCCACAAACTGGGTCCTCATTTCACCTACCTTAGAAAGGATGGAAGGCTGAGTCAACCTTGAGCCTTGGCGAGATTCGAACCCTGCAGTAATTGCAGGCAGCTGGTCTTAATAACCAGCTTAATAACAGGGTGCCTTAAACCCCTGTACTACCAAGGCTGAGGAATTCTGGGAGTTGAAGTCCACCAGTCTTAAAGTTGCTCTGCTAGGTTGGAGAGCTGAGGAATTCTGGGAGTTGAAGTCCACCAGTCTTAAAGTTGCTCAGGTTGGGAGAGCTGGCTGAGGAATTCTGGGAGTTGAAGTCCACCAGTCTTAAAGTTGCCAAGGTTGGAGACCCCTGCTCTGGACTACACCGCTGTGGCTCCGCACACCTTTCAGCCACATCTTCCCTAGGCCAGGCAGGCGACGGGGCAGTCTCTGGCTAGTGGGGCAGCGTCTTTCCCTCACTTGCCCCCACTTAACACCCTCCCTCCCTCTGCTGCTTCTGTTCCTCAGGAGGTTTCACTGACTCTGCCAAAAAGAAAGTCCTGGCCATCCTTGGCTTCCAGAACCTGCACCCTGAAAAGAACACCTGGTGCGTACAACAAAAGGGGTCGAGGTGCAGGGGTGGGCTGTGCTCTTCCAGGGTTGAGGCTAGTTATGGGGGGGTGTCTGTCTTTAAGTCAGCCATTCCTAGCCCAAGGGTACACCAAAGCTCATCATCCCCAGCCAAGGGAGCCCATGATGGCTGGGCTAAGAGTCTGGGCAGGTCCGCAGGGGGTGGGAGCAGGTGTTTCTTCAGTGCCTCTGTAAAAATGCCACTTTCCGCACTGGAGAGAACGGAAGGCAACCCCCTGGCGTCCCAGAGTTGCTCCTGAAAATCGCTTTGCGTCTTCTCAGTGAAGGAACCGGCACGTTTCCGGGCTCCGATCTCTACCGCATGGTCGAGCAAGTGGACAGCCAGCTGAAGGACTCGGTCAGCAAAGTCTTGGAGGATGAAAGGTAGGTGCTGGCGGAAGAGGAGCCCAGTGCTTCACAGCAGTGGCTTGGCCAGGGAGGTGGGATGGACCCCAGGTTCCCCTTAGTCTCTTTCCGGTTGCCCCCCCTGCCTTCCAAGGCTAAACTGCCCCTGATTCTGTGGGGGCAAGGAAGTGGGGTGCAGTTTCCATCAGTGGGCTTCTTAATATCAGAGAGAAGTTAGAGGTTCTGCCCAGGGGTGAAATGTAAAATTTGTTATTACCAGTTCTGTGGGTGTGGCTTTGTTTGGGGGCTAATGTGACTGGGTCAGCGTGGCCAACTTTTTAAAAAAAAAAACTTTTCAAAGCCTTTTTTCTAATGCTTTGAAAAGCCTCTGCGGATCAGGCAACTCAGCTGGGATCGTCAGAGACTTTTCAAAGCATTTTTTTTACCACTTCTTTGGCCAAGAGGTTGCAGAAAAAAATGCTTTGAAAAGCCTCTGAGGATCCCAGCTGAGCCGTGCAATCATCAGAGGCTTTTTTTTTTACTTTTAAAAACATTTTTTCGTCGGAAGAGGTTGTAGAAAAAATGCTTTTAAAAGTAAAAAAAAAAAAAAGCTTCTGATGATCGTGCGGCTCAGCTGGGCATGTGGGGGGCAGGGATTTTTGCTACCGGTTCTCCGAACCACCCGCCGCCATCGCTACCGGATCAGGCCATCCGGTCCAAACAAGGAGCATTTCACCCCTGGTTCTGCCATCCCTCCCAGCTGGAAGAGATCTCTTAGCTGCTTCTAATGTTCTATCCAAAGTTCTTAAGAGGAACTTTACTTCTGTCTGGTTAGACCTCCTGCTCTGTTTTCAGCTAGTCCTCGTCTCACGACCACAATTGAGCCCAAAATATCTGTGGCTAAGTGAGACAGTTGTTAAGTGAGTTTTGTCCCATTTTATGACCTTTCTTGCCACATTCACTGTGTTAAGCAAATCGTGGCAGTTGGTTAAATTAGTAACATGATTGTTAAGAGAATCTGGCTTCCTCATTGACTTTGCTTGTCGAAAGGTCGCAAAAGAAGAAAATTGCAAATGTCGTAAAATCCCAAAGGTGTTTTTCAAAAGGCAACTGGATTTTCTTGGGGTTTTTTTTTTTCCTTGAAAACCTTTCGCTTCTAACCCAAGAAGCTTCTTCAGTTCTTCAGAACTGACTTGGGGAATTCTGGGAGTTGAAGTGCACCCATCTTAAAAGTAGCTAAGGTTGAAAAACACTGAACCACTCTATTTAAATTGGTGTGTGCGTGCACACACATGTAAGTTATTGTTGTTACTGGCAGCCAAGAGTTGGGGTGGCAGGGACAGGTACAGAGAGCCATAACCTTCAAAGGCTAGGATTACGAGCACTGGTGGCACAGTGGCTAGAATGCAGCATTGCAGGCTGACTCTGCCCACAGTCTGGAGTTTGATCTTGACCAGATTCAGTTTGACTCAGCCTTCCATCCTTCTGAGGTGGGTAAAATGAGGACCCAGATGGTTGGGAGCAAGATGCTGACTCTGTAAACAGCTCAGAGAGAGCTGTAAAGGACTGTGAAGCGGTATATAAGTCTAACTGCTCTTGCTGTTACTTTATGGCTGCTGTCCAGTCCCAGGGACTCAGGCAGGGTCGTCTCCTCTTCTAACTTACTTTCTTGTCTCACCTGCAAGGATTCTGTCCAAGCTTCACCGAATCTTTTTCTCTCTCTTCGAACATGGCAGCTCCATCAAGGGATGGTTCAGCCCGTATCACCGCAAGCATCAGTTCGGCAACCCACGAAACATGGAAAGTTTTGGCAGCAAAGTGCTCAAGTGAGTGGACTGGATCCCAGAGGGGGTGTCCAGAAAACATTCCCCCATCAAAGTTCTTTTCCCTTCCCATGTTTGTGTAAAAGGCACAAATCTTTCCCTTCAGTGGAACTTCCCTATCAAATTCAGTTCCTTTTCCAGAGAAATTGCATCTTCCAAGAGCTGCTCTAGAAATGGATTGAAAAAGAAAGGAAGGCAAATACCGTATTTTTCTGTCTAAAACAGGGGTCAGCAACCTGCAGCTCTGGAGCCGCATGTGGCTCTTTCACCCCTCTGCTGCGGCTCCCTGTCACTCAAAATATGCGTCACAACCGCCAATGTGCAACACCTGCCGGCACGCAATTTATTGAGCTTTTCAAACCCCCAGTAGGGCAACCATGGATAAATCCAAGAAAAGAAAAGTTTCAGAAGAAAAAATAACATTTAAGTCAACTACATATGCTAGTTTTGTGGCCGCTCAAGGAATAGTCAGGCACGGGAAGGGTTTTGTGGCTCCCAGTGTTTTCTTTTCAGTGGGAAATGGGTCCAAATGGCTCTTTGAGTGTTTAATGTTGCAGACCCCTGGTCTATAAGATGCCCTCATGTATAGGACGCCCCCCCCCCGCATTTCTTACCCAAAATTCAGAAACCAATATTTTAAACATTAATAGAAGACATTTATTTTGCAGAGTAAAACTTTCACTTATTGGTACCGGTATTTTTTGTTGTTGTTATTTTGTTTTCTGACATTTTTATGGGCTCAGAACACTCCGACATTACCGCTCCCTGTTGCATCTGGCTACATGCTCTTTGCAGCATCAGCTGACGTCAGTGACATAAGGCTCACTCACGATCGGAGGAAACCTGTTAGCTTGTCTCTGCAATCGGAAGTTTTGCTCGTGAGGCTAGTTTCTCCCTCTCGGCCCCCCTGTGTATAAGACGCCCCTCCATTTTTAGGTCAATATTTTCAAGAAAAAGTATCGTCTTATACATGGAAAAATATGGTATATTGGAAGATTTTTAAAAAAAACCCAGTCTGTCACTGTAGGACAGGGGTGTCAAACTCGATTTCATTGAGGGCCGCATCAGGGTTGTGTTTGACCTCGGGGAGCCAGGATGGGCATGGCTAGGGGGCGTGGCCAGCATGACATCACTTGTGTGGGCGGCGCCTGTGGTGGCCCAAACACTCTGCCAGCGAGAATGGGCTCCTGGGCCACATTTTCGGCTGCTACAGCCTCCTGCAGCCCTCTGCCAGCGAAAACCAAGCTCCTTTTTCACTGGCAGAGGGCTGCAGGAGGCTGTCGCAGCTGAAAACGAAGCCTGGAACAGCCGCGTGCGGTCCTCCTGAGCTCCATTTTTGCTGGCAGAGGCACTGCTGGCCGGTCCTTCGCTGTTTCCAGGGCGGCCCCATGGGCCAGATCTAAGCACTCTGTGGACCGTATTTGGCCCGCAGGCCTTGAGTTTGGCATCCCTACTGTATGAGAATATGTAGAATGCCCAGAGCGATGGCTGGCTGGGGAATTCTGGAAGTCCACACGTCTTAAAGCTGCCAAGGTTGGAGATATTTGCTCTAAGAGGCCGAGGGGCTCTTAATGGCGCAGGTGCTGGGCTCCCACCTCTGGCTGGCTGCTGCCTCCTTCCTCCCCCCTCCAGCCTCAGCCAGGTATCCTGTTCTTTCTCCCCAGAGTCCACGAAGACTGGGAGACCATCATCCAGACTCTGCGCTCACACCTGGAGAGCATCTACTTCCCTGACACCGTGGAGGAATGGATGGAGGAGAACGTCAATCCCCACATGGACCGCTTGCGCGAATTTGTCCGCGACTTCAAAGAAGTCATCCGCCTGAATGCCCGGCCCAAGACCCTCTAGGGAAGGGCCCCCTCCCAGGCACAAAGGGGGGGCCCATTCGTGGTTCAGCCCAACTTGGTTTTTTTAAAAAACTTGAAAGAACTTGAGGCTGGAGGAGGGTGGGGGATTCCTTCCAGGACAGGGTTTAGTGCCACTTCTAGCGCTGGGCCACCAAAATCCGTTTCTAGGCAGTTTTGATGAATTTCCCCTCCCCCCAGGTTGGCACATCCCCCCCTCCCCACCAGCGATGGTGAATCTGTGGACCTGTTTGGAGAGGGAGTAGTAATTCTGATGGGGGGCTCTCCGGACAGAAAAGTTTTGGTCCTGGTTTCCATTCCTTTCTATTTCTTCCTTTTCAATGTGGTTTAGTGCTCTCGGGATTGGTACTGTTGGTAGACTGGCCTTCCCCCCTTCATGCTGGGTGGAGAAAGTGCCAGGGGGATCTGGGGAACGACCGTCACATTCTGACAGAGACGGAGGTGGGGGCATTGCTGAACGACGTTGAAAAGGACGAAAGAGAAGGAGAACTTCCATCTTTCCAGCACCCTCCTTTGAAAGTCCCTTCTCTTGTCTGAAAAAAGGGGTAGATTTAACTTTTTAACTTGAAATTCATTCTCGTCGTTCATTGGTCACAAGGTTCTTCGTTTTTGCTCAGCTGTAGCCAGGATAGTGCAATGGTGGCATCTTGGAAGGGAGGCCACAAACTGGGGGAGGAGAGAGACTTTGACCCTCCCTTCAGAGTCAGCGGACCAGGCCAAAGACTCGTTCCTTGGTGGTAACCCAAGTTCTCCAGAACATGAGATCAAGGAAGCAGCCCTGGGGAAGGGGGCAAAACATCTACCCCCACGTCTTGCTGCCGCCCCCAACCCCATCTGGCAGCTCCCGGGGTCTCTTGGCATTCCAAATTGCCTTGCAGACCTCTAAGCTAAAGTCTTCCTGGTGGTGAAAAAAAACCCGAGTGTCATTGTGGACTGTGAATTTGTTTTCTCAGGGAGTGGGTCAAAGGACTTCCCATTTGCCACCCATCCCAGTGTCTTGGTGAGACCCCTCCCTTTGTCTCTGGGGAGGGGGAGGAAGGCGCTAGAGAGACGGTGTCCCCCACTCTGCCACCCAGTCCTCCTGCTGAAGGTGGCTCTCATTCTGCCTGCTTGCAGCTGCTTCCCCACAGTGGTGCTGGCTCAGTTGCTTCCTGGGCAGCCCAAGCGATTGGCAGGCGTGTAACCGAGCTCCCCACAAGCTGCCAGGTGGAAGTGGTCAGGCATTTTGAAAAGGGCAGGTGAGGAAACAGCCCGGGAGGGAATGCAGCAGCTGCCCTGCGGAGGTGAGTGGAGCTAACAGGTAGCCATGGCAGGCGGGAAACCCCCTCCAGGGAGGCCTGCTGCTCCCTGGATCCTGCCATACTTCTCTTTGCTGATGTGCAGGTCAGAGCAGGTGCACCTTGGTCTGGTAAGCCTACGGCTTTTCTCCTAATCCCGTCTTGGCTGGGTGTCAAATTCTGTGTGCAAGGGGCCCAGAGCTGCTGTTTGGCGCCCCCTGAGCTGCATGTAAGTCCTTGGCTCCTGTAATGGTGAGGCGTGGATCCCCCTCGCTGCTTTCCCCAAGGGAGGAGGGGGAGAATCTGGGCTCCCCGGGGTGGTCTCTGCCAAGGAAAGCAGGAGGAGCTGACCGTTTCCCCCTTCTCAGAAGGGTAGCCGTGGGGTTCCTTCCCTGGGGTTGCCAGCGGATCTGTTTTATAAGGCGGACTCGGAGTTAGTTGCCGTCTTGAAGAGTTCATTGTACAGGAGAGTTGCTGCTGTGGTGCCGAGAACAATAAAGTATTTTTTATAAGGATGGGCTCCTTTGTTGGCAAAAGCCGGGAAGTTTTGGGGCTCAGCGAGCAGGAAGGGAGTTGCAGGATCCGAGGTGACAGCTCAGCTCCTGGTTCAAAGGAGGAACAGTTCTTGAGGAGGGGGTTGCATAGAGCTTCAAGATGGTCTCTTGAGAAACTATGTTATACTAATGTCAAAACAACAATTTTAGATTTTTTTAAAAAAGCTACACAACCATTGAGATTAATCATGGGGTAGCAACCTATTCAGAGACTAATGGTGAATAACGTCACACACAGCTACACACATTGTCCCATTGGGAACAAAATCTGTCAACCATCTAGTGTCAGTCTGAAGTGAGGATAAGCTCACGGACTGTGCAAAGCCGTGTTGTGTGTGAGCTCGGCTCTCATGATTGTGCAAACTCAACCAGTCGTGGTTTACTAATGAAACTTGGCTCAGCATGGTTCCTAAACCAAGGAATCGGATGTCCATATAGAACTCGGCTATTCGAAGTCTGTGCTGAAAGCTCATTTTTCTACAGCTAATAAGCAGGTTCCTCCAAAGCCACCCCACCTCAAGAATGCAGAAATATTTTGGGGTTGGGATTAGTTTCCATCCTGGCAGGCCAGGAAGGTTCAAATGAGGCATTTCTGCGGCTTCTCTGCAATCCCGCAAGAGGCGAGGGCCAGAGAGAGGTTTCATGCTTAGCGGCTGACTTTCTGATAAGGAGCTGATCTGGGCCCAGAAACAACATCCGTTTCAGCCTTGCATTGCCGCTGCCATTTGCCGATCAGGAGCAGCTGATTTTTTTATTTTTATTTAATCAAATTTCTATACCGCCCTATTCCCGAAGGACTCAGGGCGGTGAACAGCCAAGATAAAATACAGACAATACAAATATTAAAAATCCCTTAAAATTATTAAATATTTCGGCCGAAACACAGATTAAAACACCCAATTTATAAAATCACGAATTAAAAAATTAAAATTTAAGAATTTAAAAGAGGGGAGTTAGGCCAGGCCAGCTTGCTGAAATAGAAAAGTTTTGAGAGCACGGCGAAACGTGCGCAGGTCCGGGATCTTCCGTATCTCTGGGGGGAGCTCGTTCCAGATGGTAGGTGCCCCCACAGAGAAGGCTCTCCCCCTGGGGGCCGCCAGTCGACACTGTTTGGCCGACGGCACCCTGAGGAGCCCCTCTCTATGGGAGCGTACTGGTCGGTGAGAGGCTATTGGTAGCAGAAGGCGGTCTCGTAGATACCCCGGTCCGATGCCATGGAGCGCTCTAAAGGTGGTAACCAAAACCTTGAAGCGCACCCGGAAGACCACCGGGAGCCAGTGCAGCTCGCGCAGGAGAGGTGTTACATGGGAGCGCCACATCGCTCCCATAACCACCCGCGCGGCCGCATTCTGGACCAGCTGGAGCCTCCGGGTGCTCCTTAAGGGGAGCCCCATGTAGAGAGCATTGCAGTAGTCCAAGCGGGAAGTGACAAGAGCATGAGTGACCGTATTTAACGAGTCCCGATCCAGAAAGGGACGCAACTGGCGAATCAGGCGGACCTGATAAAAAGTCCCCCTGGCCACGGCCGTCATATGCTCTTCTAAAGACAGCCGTGAGTCCAGGAGGACACCCAAGTTGCGAGCCCTCTCCGTGGGGGGCAATGACTCGCCCCCAATAGTCAGTGATGGCGCCAACTGGCTATATCGGGACGTCGGAAACCACAGCCACTCGGTCTTGGATGGGTTGAGCCTGAGTCTGTTTCTCCCCATCCAGATACGCACGGCCTCCAGGCACCGGGACATCACTTCAAGGGCATCATTGGGGTGGTCCGGGGTGGAGATGTACAGCTGAGTATCGTCAGCGTACTGGTGGTACTTCACCCCGAAACCACGGATGATCTCACCCAGCGGCTTCACATAAATGTTGAACAGAAGGGGCGAGAGGACCGACCCTTGTGGCACCCCACATACAAGGGGCCTCGGGGTCGACCTCTGCCCCCCTGTCAACACAGACTGCGACCGGTCAGAGAGAAAGGAGGAGAACCACCGTAGGACGGTGCCCCCCACCCCTAACTCCTCTAGCCGGTGCAGCATGATACCATGGTCGATGGTATCAAAAGCCGCTGAGAGGTCTAATAGGACCAGGACAGAGGAACAACCCCTGTCCCGAGCCCTCCAGAGATCATCAACCAACGCGACCAATGCCGTTTCCGTGCTGTACCCAGGCCTGAAGCCCGACTGGAACGGATCCAGATACGACGATTCATCCAGGTACTGGGGGAGCTGTCGCGCTACCACACTCTCAACAACCTTCGCAATGAAGCGAAGGTTGGAGACTGGACGATAATTTGCCAACACTGCCGGGTCCAGGGAAGGTTTCTTGAGGAGAGGCCTCACCACCGCCTCTTTCAAGGCGGCAGGGAAGACACCCTCACTCAAGGAAGCATTTATAATCCCCTGGAGCCAGCCTCGTGTAACCTCCCGAGAGGCCAGCACCAACCAGGAGGGACACGGGTCCAGTAAACATGTGGCTGCGCTCAGTCTGCCCAGTATCCTGTCCACGTCTTCGGGCGTCACAGAATCAAACTCTTCCCAGATAATACTCACAAGACCTGCCTCTGTCCTCCCCGCTGAATCTACCCAGTCAGAGTCCAGATGTTCCCGAATCTGAGCGATTTTGTCATACAGATACTGTACAAAATCCTCGGCTCTACCCTCCAAGGGGTCCTCCCGCGCTTCCTGGTGGAGCAGGGAGCGGGTCACCCTAAACAGGGCAGCCGGGCAATTATCTGATGACGCAATAAGAGTGGCAAAATAGTTATACTTCGCCCCTTTTATCGCCACCAGGTAGGTCCTAATATGAGACCTTACCAGTGTTCGGTCAGATTCAGAATGGCTGGCCCTCCAACCACTCTCCAGGCGTCTTTTCCGGCGCTTCATCTCCCTCAGCTCCTCGGTGAACCAAGGAGCCAGGCGAGATCGACGCCGGGTCAGAGGCCGCAAAGGCACGACCCGATCCAAAGCTCCAGCGGCCGCCCTATCCCAGGCGGCCACCAGCTCCTCAGTCGAGCCGTGTGCCAGAGCCTCAGGAAATGGCCCAAGCTCCGTCTGGAACCTATCAGGATCCATCAGGCGCCTGGGGCGGTACCACCTCAGTGGTTCCGCCTCCCTGCGGCGGGGTGCGGCGGTTCGAAGGTCAAAGCGAAGGAGGGAGTGATCTGACCATGACAAGGGCTCGATCACTATATCCCCTATCTCAAGATCACTCAACCACTGACCAGAGACAAAAACCAGGTCTAGCATGTTTCCCCCCGTGTGAGTAGGGCCATGAACTAACTGGGTCAGGTCCATGGCCGTCATGGAAGCCATGAACTCCCGAGCCACCTCAGACGCCTCACCGACGGATGGCAGGTTAAAATCCCCCATGACCATAAGCCTGGGGGTGTCAACCGCCACCGCGGCTATAACGTTGAGCAGCTCGGGCAGGGCTGCCGTCACGTGGCAGGGAGCCAGGTACGTAACCAGCACACCCATCTGCACCCCATGACCCCACTTCACAAGGAGGGACTCACAACCAGCCGTCTGAGGAACAGTGACCTCCCTCGGACCAAGACCTTCTCTAATGACAACCGCCACCCCCCCGCCCCTCCCCTGTGTCCTCGGCTGATGGAATGCGCGGAAACCGGGTGGGCACATCTCAACGAGGGGAACCCCCCCCCTCCTGGCCCAACCAGGTCTCCGTAATACCCGCCAGGTCCGCTCCCCCCTCCTGAACAAGATCACAAATGAGGGGGGCTTTATTTACCACGGACCGGGCGTTGCACAGCATCAGCCGAAGGCCCAGGGCCTGAGGGTCTGTGCAACCTGGGGAACGAGAGGAGCATTGGAGGCCGGAGCGCGCCACCGCTTGGAGCCAGCGGGCACGTGCTCCCACAGCCTGATGTGGCCCCCTGCTCCCGCCATATCTGCCCCTCCCACCCACAGTACTGATGTAATGACCATCCATAACACAAGCTCTAACCCCCACCTTGACCCCGGTTCCCGCATCTCTAGTGCCGTGCTCTTCAGCCGGCTCTGGCCTCCTCCCCGACAGGTTCTCCCCCAAACCCACCGAACCCACCCCCCTCCCAGAAACCTTTAAAACCTTATCTAAAAATTTCCCTAAAAAACCCCACAACCCACTCCTCGCCGCATGCCACCTCTCGGGATTCCAAAATCCGTCATCAAGGTAGGCCCTCGATAGTGAGGAGGGCCAAACCTGCGAGAGGGAGGAGTCTCGCAGCGCAAGCAGGTCAGCAGCCGTAAACATCGCACAAAAACAGAGATGGAGAGTCAATTGGTCAGGGCTTCACCAGATCGTCCAATAATACTGGGTCAAAGTAGATCTTCATATCAGGAGCTGGTTCACTGCCCTCTCACGACAGTGAAAGGGGCCAGTGACATCCCCCCACGTCTGGAGGATAATTATCCCAGTCACCCTCTCACAGTGACTGGGGCAGATGACACTGACAATAAAGTCACAATAGTCCATCCTTTCATCTGGCGGATGACAAACAGCCCCCTCAGCACCTGCACACCATTTTGCCCAGTTCTCCTCCAGTTTGGGGTCGCACAAGAAGCCAGCAATTTGTAAAGTTATTAGAAACAATGTTGATAATCCCACAGGCACAAGTTCTTCTCTGGGGCGAAAGTAGGGATAGCAGACAAAAAAACCCAGTCCAAGTCCAGGGTGGGTGGCCATCAAAGGCCAACACCCACACATACCTGAGGGAAGAAGGGGGGGGAGAGAAGCCACCCGAGGCGACCAATAGAGCCCTGGTCAGCCTCCCGCCTCTCCTGTCCCAAAACTCCCCAAATCCCCAGTCTCAGCTCTGATGACAAACAAACCCCGGATAACAGGGGTCAAGGCTCAAAAAAGAGCAGATGGTAATCCTGAGGGCAAGGCAAGGCTGTCCGTATTCCCCCATCCACCTGCTACAAGTTCTTTCCACAGCTGGATGATCCGTGGCTGCCATTGCC